CACGGTGGATCTTCCACTGCTGAAGGGAACTTCGGAATTCCCAAAGAGTGTTCACTGCAAAACACCCATCCAGCTATGAAGGAAACAGAACTGACCACGTGCAGGAGAGACATCGCTCACCAGTCACTGGAAAAGCAGGCTGTGGTTGCAACGGTAAGGATGGAGAAGGAAACATTTAGAGGATAGAAATTCACAGTGCGAGAAGGGTTCCAGGTCAGCAGCAGATGCGACACACGTCCCAGGGGCTTCACCACGACCGGACAGGCAGGCCAGGGCTGGGCCGGCAACGTTCCGCTCCGGCTCGGCGCCTCCTCAGACTGTCCGGGAAGGGGCCCATCCTCCAGGGAGAAGGGCAGCCGCTGGGAGGCCAGGGTCACGGGCTCGATAATTCTTTCCTAGAGTCTGCTCTGTTTTCTGTCAGCAGTAAGGAAATACATTGAGCAAATGATATCCAGTCAGGCTTTAATTAACTGCAGCCTTCTGCACTCCACCACGCAAGGAGAAATCACTTCCAGATGGGGAAAATGAAAGCTATTTACACAAAAAAGCAATCCCTTTATTTTAAGGAAATTTATCTCTCCCAAAGGTGTAGAACTCTGAGGTTCCAAAAGGCTATTCTGGGAATTCTTATTTAACAGATAAAATGCAACCGTACTCTTCACGTAGGCCAGCGTTTCACATGCCCATGTTTCTAAGGCTATTTCATTTTTAGGAATCTGACTTGGAGTAGACAAGAGTGTGAAACACTTGCCGTCACCCTCAAGCAGGCAGGTTATTCCAAGTGCTCTTCAGCATGTCCCCTGACCTTCCGCAAACAGGGAACCAGGTCTCCTCATCCAATGGCAGTTCAGGAAGGCTCGGTGTGCTGTCCCCGGCTCCAGGCAGCAGCCTCAGACCTGCCCCATCGCTCTGCGTGCCCCGTAACTATCTCGCTGGTCTCGGCTTGTCTGCTCTAAGGAGCAACCCTAGACATGAGAAACCAGGCACGCTTCTCGGGTGGGCAGAGTCCTGGGTGCTGGTTCTTTGTTCCGGAGAGAGGCAGGAGTGGTGCTAGTTAGCGCCGACCCTGAGCTGGATTTGAAGACCGCAACACCTTGCCCTCCGCAGCTCCTCTTTCACGGTCAGTCCACACAGAATGTTCTCCAGCCTGCGCACCTCTCACCTAGCTATCAGAGAGGTCTCCGTAAGAAGAGCACAGTGAATGCTTTACTGATAATACAAATGACCAAAGTGACTTCAAAGTTGCTTGTTTTTTCATTCTTTTTGTTTGTTTTGTTTTGTTTTGTTTTGTTTTTTGAGGCAGAGTTTTGCTCTTGTTACCCAGGCTGGAGTGCAATGGTGCAATCTCCGCTCACTGCAACCTCTGCCTCCTGGGTTCAGGCAAGTCTACTGCCTCAGCCTCCTGAGTAGCTGGGATTACAGGCATGCGCCACCATGCCCAGCTAATTTTTTGTATTTTTAGTAGAGACGGGGTTTCACCATGTTGACCAGGATGGTCTTGATCTCTTGACCTCGTGATCCACCAGCCTCGGCCTCCCAAAGTGCTGGGATTACAGGCTTGAGCCACCGTGCCCGGCCAGCTGCTGCTTTTATCCAGGGGTGTTCCTTTTATTATTAGTATTTGCTATTATTTTTTGAGATGGAGTCTTGCTCTGTCACCCAGGCTGGAGTAGAATGGCATGATCTCAGCTCACTGCAACTTCTGCCTCCTGGGTTCAGGCGATTCACCTGCCTCAGCCTCCCAAGCACTGGGACTACAGGCACCCGCCACACCACACCCAGCTAATTTCTGTATTTTTAGTAGAGATGGGGTTTCACCAGGTTGGCCAGGCTGGTCTCGAACTCTTGACCTTGTGATCCGCCCGCCTCAGCCTCCCAAAGTGCTGGGATGACAGGCGTGAGCCACCGTGCCCAGCCACATTTGTACTTTTTTAAAGGCCCAGAGTGGTTCTGATGCGCAACCCCAGTAGGGAACGCAGCATCTTTACACAGCCCTCCATCCCATCAAGGAGACATTTAACATAACTCCTACCGACATCTGTGGGCTCCCTGGGGATTACTAACAATGCCGTAAATCAAGAAAGCAGCTTCCCTGCCTGTGACCACCAATGGTGAAACACAGCAGCTTGACATCTCAATGCTGTGACAGGTGTCCGGAAAATGACTCCTCACCAACCAGCCAAAAAGAGGAGTGGGGATCTGTGAACACACACCAGGAGTGACAAGAACCAGGTGCTGCAGTCCCTGGCTTCCCAGCACTCCCAGGTTGAGGACAGACAGCTGAACTGGCTGTGCCATCTGGAGATGGGCCCACTGCCCCTTTTTGACTACACAGCTCAGGCTGCACAATCTCACCAGAGCAACCCCAGGGGCTGGGAGGCATCTACTGGGCTTCCGGGGACTCTCCCGAACCCCTCCCCGCCCTTCCTGGGCTTCCCTGGAGCTCTCCTGACCCCCTCCCTGCCCTTCCTGGGCTTCCTGGGAGCTCTCCTGACCCCCTCCCTGCCCTTCCTGGGCTTCCCGGGAGCTCTCCTGACTCCCTCCCACCCTTGTCTTCTTTGGAATCTTCCTAATAGACCTTAGCTAAAGGCTGCACCTCCTTGACCACTCGTTGTCTTCTCCCTGTTCTCGAATTTGAGACACTCGATGCACAAGTCATACCGACTAGCAGGGAAGCCTGGAAGCTGAGGAAGAAATGAGGCTCAGGATCAGAGCTGGACGCCATCGGGAGAAAGGCCGGCAGAGACACAGGGCACAAAGCAGGCAGTCGTATCAGGAACCAAGGTGGGAACGAGGAAATCAGGTTTCGAGGCCAGTTTCCAAACCTTAACGTTTCCTGCTGTATAGCTGTTACAAGTTTTATGGATTCTCAGGAAATTCCCTCTCCTGAAAACTTTCTGAGACAGAGTCTCGCTCTGCTGCCCAGGCTGGAGTGCAGTGGTGTGATCTCGGCTCACTGCAACCTCCACCTCCCAGATTCAAGCGATTCTCCTGCCTCAGCTTCCCCAGTAGCTGGGATTACAGGTATGCGCCACCATACCTGACTAATTTTTGTCTTTTTAGTAGAGACGAGGTTTTACCCGGATGGCTAGACTGGTCTCAAAACTCCTGACCTCAGGTGATCCACCCACCTCATCCTCCCAAAGTGCTGGGATTCTAGGCGTGGGCCACTGTGTCTGGCCAACTTTTTATATTTTTGGTTTCACCATGTTGCCCAGGCTGGTCTCAAACTCCTGAGCTCAAGCAATCTGCCTACCTCAGCCTCCCAAGCAGTTGAGACTACAGGTAGATGCCACCACGCCTTGCAAATTTTTATTTTTGTAGACATCTCAATGTTGCCCAGGCTGGTCTTGAACTCCCTGGCTCAAGTGATCCTCCTGCCTTGGCCTCCCAAAGTGTTGGGGCTACCAGTGCGAGCCGCTGTGCCTGGCAAGGTACCATTCTTGAACAGAAGCGGCAGGAACAACAGCAGTTTGGCCGTAGCTGTCGTCATGGCTAACTGAGGCGTGGTTTTAGGGGAGCCGAGGGCATCAGGGGCTGCCTGCTCTCCGCATGCAGGAGGACACCAGAGGCCAGAAGACCTGCCACAGAGGGCCCAAGGGGACAGGAAGGGCAGGTGGGGGCAGCTGCCTTTCAGGCCAGGCCAGGCTCTCAGCCTGGTGTGTAAGGTCAACATTCTGTTCCTGAGGCATCCCGAGCCCCCGGCTCCTTCTCATCACACAGGAACAGGTCACTGGGACCCTGCACCACCACCCTTGCTATTTCAGACGACGTTGGAAAGTACTGTGGACCTGAAGATGAGCGGGCAGAAAGGGACTCGAGGGTACGGGCTTCCTGGATGTTCCCACGGCTTCATCTGATGAGAAAGCCTAGGAAACGTTTTCCAAGCAAACTTCCTGGTCTCACTTCCTTAAAAGCCAGGAGCAGAGTGGGAGTGAAGAAATGAAGGAAAGGGCTGGGAGCAGTGGCTCACACCTGTAATCCCAGCACTTTGGGAGCCTGAGAAGGGTGGACCACTTGAGGCCAGGCGTTCAAAACCAGCCTGGCCAACATGGTGAAACCCATCTCTACTAAAAACACAAAAAATAAGCCAGATGTGGTGGCAGGTGCCTGTAGTCCCAGCGACTAGGGAGCCTGAGGCAGGAGAATCACTTGAGCCCGGGGAGGCAGAGGTTGCAGTGAGCTGAGATCACGCCACTGCACTCCAGCCTGGGCAACAGTGAGACTGCATCTCAAAAAAAACAAAAACAAACAAACAAAAAAACAAAAAAAGAAATGGAGGAAGAATCTGCTCACACAACCTGGCAAGTGTGCCAGTCTGAGCCCTCTGTCAGATCTGGGTCTGCCTATACCCTGGTCAGGAGCCCCAGGGCAGACAGGACACCTGCTTGAAGGCCTGGCGCATGTGACCTTCCCAGTAACAGACAGAGGACACCTCTCCTTTGGAGACGACTGAGAAATGGGGGAACACAGGGATAACTTAGTCAAGTAAGGTCTTAACAAGTACCAGAAACAAAATATGGGCCAGGAAACTGGGATTTCCATGGGAATATGCCTGCTTCCACTGCCTCCATAAAGAACCTGTAATCTGCCACTCTGGCCGTAGGGACAAACCCAGAGATAGGAGAGGAAACTCAGCTCTGGCTGAAGGGGAAACCTCAAACAGCCATGGAAGGAGGGAAGGAGGGAGGGAGAGAGGGAGGGAGGGAGAAAGGGAGAGAAGGAGAGGGGGGGGGAGGGAGGGAGAGAACGAAGCGGGGAGGGAGGGAGAGGAGGAGAGGGGAAGTAAGGGAGAGGGAGAGGAAGAGGGGGAGGGAGGGAGGGAGGAAGAGGAGGGAGGGAGGGAGGGAGGAAGAGGAGGGAGGGAGGGAGGGAAGGGGAGGAGGAGGGAGGGAGAAAAGGAGGTGGGAAGGAGGGAGAGGAGGAGGAGGGAGGGAGAAAAGGAGGTGGGGAGGAGGGAGAGGAGGAGGAGGAGGGAGGGAGAAAAGGAGGTGGGAAGGAGGGAGAGGAGGAGCGGGGAGGGAGGGAGAGAGGAAAGGAGGGAGGGGTGAGATCCCGGCTTCCTCATTCAAGTTGCCTGGATGGGGAGGTGCATGGTGGATCCAGTGTCAGAGGGTATGACAGCCCTGCTGACGCTACATGAGTCAACGGCAATTCTGCTAGTCAGGGGCAGCTCAGGGACGGCAAGTGAACCCCAGGGACCTTCCCCTGCTGCTGCCTCTGCTTCAGAAACCAGAGATCATCTAAATGGCCTTCTCAGAACCCAGCCCTTACTCAGCATCTCCGATGAGGGCAGGAAGTAAGACAGGGCATGGGAGAGACTCAGTAACAACCCAGATGTCCCAGAAAGCCTGGAGACTGAGGATACGAGTGTCCCAGGGAGCACAGGAGACGTCAGGGGCTTCCAGGGAACGTGGTGCTAAGGGGCTGGCCAGGAGCAAAGTGCCCTGTGCTACAGTCTCTTTTTAATGAGTTTCTCGAGTTTGCGGATGCGAGACGATTCCTGCTCTGGCGTTGGCGCCATAAGGGACAGGGAGCTGGCGCTTTCTGTCCCCGAGGGCGGCGCAGGGAGCCGCTGGCGCAGGAGTTCCAGCATGCTGCTCTGCTCGCTCCTCTTCAGCCCCTAGGGTTGAGAGAAAGGAGAACTGTCAGGCAGGCTGGGCCAGAACGGGCCACGGGGAGAGCGCAGCATTGGGTATAGGGGTCAGCAGAGACTGCAGACAGCAGAGTCACTCCAGGCTGAGGATGACTGCTTTCCTCAGAGAATTAATTGCCAGCCCTGGGTAGTATTCTGGGAAGAAAACAGGGGAAGAAAGGGCCATGGAAGAGAAAGAAGGGGCTGAGAGAGAAGGGCAGGTCCAGGAGGTGGGGGAGGAAACCCTCCTGTCCTCATCCTCTGCCCGCCTCCATTGCGCAGGGGCCTATCAATCCTTGAGAGCACACGCCCACAACCACCTCCTCCAAAGGCTTCTCCGAATCCGGTTAGCTCCGTGGAGCCAGGCAAAGCATTTTGAGAAAACCCCCCAAGAACCTATATCCCACCCCCAGTTAAGAACCAAGTGTGAGGAGGATGGCAAGCGTGGACAAACCCGAGGCGTGCAGTCACCTTCATGTCCAGGATCTTCTGGAAGGTTTCCGTGTTGCAGTCTGTGAGGAGTTTGATGTAGTTGTCGACGAACACCACCAGCGGTTCATGAGGGGCCATCACCACCTGCCAGGAGGAGATGGGCAGGCCCGTGAGGAAAGCTCACAGCAGCGCAGGGCTCACCCTCACTGCCTGCTGAGCGCAAAATGCATCCTGTGAGGTCTCCTTCTCATCTTCACACTCAACTAGAGCAGTGTGTCCTCAATTTGCTGAATCCCAAATATCACCTGCACGGCTTTGTAAAGCACGGGTTCCTGAGCCCTTCCTTTAAATAGTCTAATTCAGCAGCCCTGGTGGGGCCCCAGGTGACTGTCTAAACATTGGGACCCTTTGGGAAACACTGCGTGAGAGGGTCTCTTGTTAGACGTTTCACAGGTACACGGTACCCATTCCTTCTGCCCCGAAGTACTATTACTTCTGAGAAATGGGTGGCAAAAGGCACTGGTATAAGTGGATTTCTGCAAAAACAAAAATGCCAAAGCTGCCTCACTTTTCTGAAGACTTAAAATCTGGACTTGGTGTAACTATTAATTGAAAGTATCAGTTAACACACAAAGGAAAGGAAGGGCACGGCAATTCTCACACCCGTTTCCATTTGGCTCTGGAATGCAGTATCTGACTTTCTTCCTGCATTCCCCAGACTGCCCCAAAGCGTGGCCAGTGGTTCACTCAGGAATCCTCTGCAGAGAACTCCCGGACCGCACGCTCTCCTCCACAGCCAGTAACGAGCAGCGGAGGGAAATGAACAGGCTGCTTCCCATGTCCTCAGGCCACAGCTCCAGGTTCAGGCAGGGTCGTCACCCGTCCCAGGTGTCTGAGGCCCTGCCGTCTCTGAGTCATCTGGCTTAGGAATAGCCTGAAGAGCCTAGAGGCCCTGGGCTTTTCAGACACATCACGACAGGCCCATTTGTTCTCCAGCCCTCATCCCCGCTCTCCCAAATGGTGGAAATCAGAGGCAGATGCTCAGGGTTCAGACCTTCATCACCCGAAGTACAATCCTTTGTTAAATAGGGCTTTAACAAATCCATTTGCCAATGAGATTCAGTTACTACAACATCTGTTCAGAGTTCATGTAAAGTGGAGACAGAGCAGAGAAAGCCAAGAAGGCTGATGTGGAAGGGAGTAACTGAGACCTGGGCCTGGAATTCCTGCTGAGCAGCAGAGATATCTGACCTGACTGACTCACAGCGACAACTCCACCGAACTTTCAAGCTTGGCCACATCCAATTATAAGAGAATCCCATGACAACAAAAAATTCATCTGTCAGGAGGAATTACTGACCCCCAATATCTACCCACAGACTTTCAACAACATCTGATGAGGCCAAAAATTCAGTCCAGCCCAAGAATGTGGACCTGCTTTGAGAGTGCTGGAGACAGGACCTACCCTGTGCCTTCAAAACTAAAGCTTCTTGGAAACAGAGATGAAATAAACAACCGACCCCTTTACACAGAATCCCCGAGAAAGGCACAAGCCGTCACCTTGAGGATCATCTCCGCCCGGGTCATGCCTTTGACAACGATCTTAGTGTAGCTGGCGGGCGCCTTCCTCACCACCTGCGAGCCGATGGAGGGGAGATCAAGCAGGACCATCTTCAGGGAGTGGGTGTCCAACAGCAGCTGTGGAGCAAGGCAGAGTGTGACCAGCCCCTTCCAGCCACCCAGCACCGAGCGGACCCATGCCCAGGAGTAACATTTTTCTGATTATGTGCATAATACATTCTCGTTGCAGAAAACTTGGGAAATAAACAGAAATATATTTTAAAAAGTTATGTATAATTCCCATCACCTACAAAAAACAAGAAGCCAGCTTATGTGTATTTAAGTAAAAAATACGTAACAATAACCTGGCGGCCAGGAGCAGCGCCTCACGCCTGTGATCCCAGCACTTTAGGAAGGCCCAGGCAGCAGGCTCTGTAGGGCTAGAGGTTTGAGGCCACCCTGGGCAACATGGAAAAACACAAAAATCATCCAGGCGTGGTGGTGCACACCTGTGGTCTCAGCTACTGGGGTGGACTGAGGTGGAAGGGTCACTTAAGCCTGGGAGGCTGAGGCTGCAGTGAGTCAAGATGGTGCCACTGCACTCTCCAGCCTGGGTGACAGAGTGAGACCCTGTTTCAAAACTAAACCACAACCCGTGCCACAAAACTTAGTCAGAATTGAGAATCCTGGAGAGAGATCCAAGATGGCTGATCACTAGCAGCTCGGGATTGTAGCTCGCACTGAAAACGCAAAGAACGAGAGGACGCCACACCTTCACATGAATTCTTGTTGCTCACGCACCAGGAGATTCCCAGCGGAGGAGCTCCACGGGTCGCCAGCGCGACTCTTGTGACCGGTGAGGCGGTTTTGCCGGCGCCTCGGAGCGTCGGTTCTTGGTGCAGAGTCAGAAAAGCACCATCAATCTTAACGCCGCTGATTTGGTCGGCGCAGTGGGTTGCTCAGATTTCGGCGCTGAAAATCAGTAAGTTGGACGACCACTCAGAAACCCAAGTACAAAGACGGTAATTATAAAGACCACAGATGGATAAATCTACAACGAAGGGAAGAAAACAGCCAAAAAAGGCTGAGACTACCCAAGATCAGAACGCCTCTCCCTCAGCAGGGGATCCCAGTTCCTCATCAGCAACGAAACAAGGCTTGATGGAGAACGAGTGGGTTCCAATTACAGAAGCAGGCTTCAAAACGTGGATAATAAGAAACTTCTGTGAATTAAAAGAACTTGTTCAAACACAATCTAAAGAAACTAAGAACTTTGAAAAAAGGTTTGACGAAATGTCAACAAGAATACACAATTTAGAGAGGAAAATAAGTGAATTGATGGAACTGAAAAACACAATACGAGAACTACGTGAAGTATGCACAAGTTTTAACAGCCGAATTGATCAAGCAGAAGAAAGGATATCAGAGGTCGAAGACCAACTCAATGAAATAAAACAAGACGACAAGATTAGAGAAAAAAGGATAAAAAGGAATGAGCAAAGTCTCCAAGAAATATGGGACTATGTGAAAAGACCTAGTCTACGCTTGATAGGTGTACCTGAATGTGACGAAGAGAATGAATCCAAGCTGGAAAATATGCTTCAGAATATTATTCAGGAAAATTTTCCCAACTTAGTAAGGCAGGATAATATTCAACTCCAGGTAATACAGAGAACACCACGAAGATATTCCTCAAGAAGAGCAACTCCAAGGCACATAATCGTCAGATTCACCAGGGTTGAAATGAAGGAGAAAATACTAAGGGCAGCCAGAGAGAAAGGTCAGGTTACCCACAAAGGGAAGCCTATTAGACTCACAGCAGATCTCTCAGCAGAAACCCTACAAGCCAGAAGAGAGTGGGGACCAATATTCAACATCCTTAAAGAAAAGAACTTTCAACCAAGAATTTCACATCCAGCCAAAATAAGCTTCATAAGTGAAGCTTATATAAAGTTTTTTGCGAACAAGCAAGCACTCAGAGAATTCATCATCACCAGGCCTGCTTTACAAGAGCTTCTGAAAGAACCACTACACATAGAAAGGAACAAACAGTATCAGCCTTTCTAAAAAATACCAAAAAGTAAAGAACATCAATACAATGAAGAATTTACATCAACTAATGGGCAAAATAGCCAGCTAATATTAAATGACAGTATTAAACTCACATATATCATTATTAATTCTAAATTTAAATTGACTAAATTCCTCAATTCAAAGACAGACAATTTGGACAAAAAACTAAAACTGTATGCTGCATCCAGACCCATCTCACATTCAAGGATACACAAAGACTCAAAACAAAGGATGGAGAGAGACTTACCAACCAACCAGAGAGCAAAAATAAATAAATAAAAAGCAGAAGTTACAAATTTTGCCTCTGATAAAATAGTATTTAAAGCAACAAAGATCAAAAGAAGCAAAGAAGGACATTATATAATGATAAAAGAATCAATGCAGCAACAAGAAGAGCTAAAGGTCCTAAATATACACGCACCCAATACAGGAATACCCAGACATACAAGACTTATAAAGAGACTTAGACTCTCACAGAATAATAGTGTGAGACTTCAACATTAATATTAGACAGATCAATGAGACAGAAAATTAACAACGATATCCAGGACTTGAACTCAGATCTGGAACAAGTAAATGTAATTAACATTTATAGAACTCTCCACTTTACACAAAATATACATTCTTATCAGTACCACATCATATCAACTTAGAAGTTTAAACGAAATGTTGGTTGGCTCCTTGTTTGTTACTCTCTTCCCTCATTTTCTTTCACGTCTCCATTATTAAGGACAATTATAGGCATACCCATATTTAGACTGCATTCTAGCCCGGGCAGCAAAGCAATAACCCCATTCTCTCTCCCTCTTCCTCTTTCTCTTTCTTCCTCTTCTTTATTCTTTTTCTCAAAAAAAAAAAAAAAAAAAAAAAAAAAAAAGAATTATACTATACGTATACATAATTTTATAACCTGGTTTTTTCACTATGTAAAATTTTCATATTGTGTTCCCATCTCTGCAGTCATGATTTTTAGCTGCACTCTAACGTGGGCCACATGGCGAGACCCTATCTTCTAAAGCAGCAGGAGCGCGTGACTTTTAAAGGCCCTGCAGTACTCTGTGATGTGTGGCCACGTAATTTCAGGATCTTTCCAACGGAATGGACCCACGTACGCCTCTGCCAGCAGCGCAGACTGCACCCTTATTGGCACTGAAAACTCCTAAAATCCTCATTATTGTTGTTTTTAATTCCTCTGGATGTTAGTGAGGATGTGGATTTACCCAAATGTAAACATTGCATCTTGGCAACAATCTACCTTTTCCTCTTTCTTTGTTCTGGTTCTTTGGGATGCCAATCATCTAGGACACCTGCAGTCCCGATGGCTCAGCACCTGCTGGGAATGACCTGAGGAAGGTTTGTCACATTCCGTCTGCATAAGGCCCTATTTGCTCTGGGGGTTGTTTATCGTTCCCATTGAACAGATGAGAAAAAGTTCCAGAGAAAGTTTACCAGCTTGCTAAACTCATCTCGTGCAATGGAATGGGGTTAGACAAAAGGTGGCCAGGAGGCTG